AGAGAGAAAGCACCCCTCAATGGGGCATAGTCACTCTGCAATTCTTCTTCCTTCGTCTCTCCATCCCATCAGGATTTGGGGGCATGCATGCACGTGAGCCTGATAATGTTCTTCAAGTTGCCAGGACTGGGACTTTTTTCAGACTTCCAAGACAGGTGGCTTGGATTTTGACTGTATGTACTGTGCTTAACTACTGTGCTACAGGGCTGGCCCGGGACTGTACTGTATCTACTGTATTTTATTTATATTTTTAGGTTTTTGTCACAGGGCACATGCATTCACCAGAGAGGAGAGAGAGAGAGAGATACAGTGAGAGGGAAAGTGAGAAATCCCCCTCCCAGCCAGGGGGAATGGCCATGCTGCAATCCCTTCTTCATTCTCTTCTCGGAATTTTGAACACACCCACACGTGCCCGGCATGTTTCTTTAAAAAGAAGAAAAGGAACAGATAGTAGAGATCTCACCAGCTTTTGCTGTTGCCCTCTCTGTGTTTAATAGTGGTTTTCCCACTCTATTTCACAGAGCCCTAGGATTTCCAAGGGTTAAAACTGAGGGGAGAGGGGTTAGAGGTTTAGCAGTAACTAGAGGTTTCCCATCTCACCCACAATTGAAACTAGTCTTCTTCCTTTTTGTTTTTTGTTTTTTAGAGGTTTTTCACTATAGGGCGCATGCGCTCGCCAGACAGACAGAGAGACAGAAAGCGAGAAATCACCCCCAGAGGGGATGGCCACGCCACAATCCCTTCTCCATTCTCCTCTCAGGATCTTGGGCATGCACGCACACGTGCCTAGCGTGGGTTTTAAGCCACCGGGTCTGGGACGCGAACCACGGTCGACTATGTGGGAGTCCAGCGACATAGCCATTACGCTAACTGCTGGTTCCCAGAAACTACAGTCTTTTTTTTTTTTTTTTGCTCTTCAATTTTTTCTTCATTTATTTTCAAGCTCTGTTATTTGACACACGTTTATAAATGCTATTTTTTTTTTATTATCATAATCTTCTTTATATTACATTGGATTACATATAACTTTACATTGACTTCCATTGCTTTTTCAAAAGGGAATGCCATGCATGTCAGTCAATACAGAGGCATCGATCTCCCCGCTTTATCATTCAAAGTCTTTTCCATGCATTTCCCAATAATTATTATTATTATAATTTTTTAAAACAGTCAATCACTATTTCTCATTTTGCTTATTAAA